TGTATACCTCCTTCACTACACATTAGACTTGTACCAGCGTCTTCATTTCCCACCCTCTATCATTCTGTTCCCCTGCTGTGCCTCTGGAAGGGACGCAAACATGGATATCTTTGCTATACAAACCGGGTCTTTATTTATTCAAACCTACTCTTAATCCCTCTATCTCTTTTTCATTCATATATTCTTCTGGTCTTCACCTCGCACCCACCACTCACACTCCATCCAGCTGCAACCTTTGTCTCCCTTCACCCTCTAGTCGTTTCCTGATGGGAATTCCAAAGCCAAGGCTAAGTCAGTGGAGATGTATGGGCCAGCCTGTCTCATATACTGAGGAAATATAGAAGCAGAGAACCAATTCCAGGGCTTCCTCCATGGTGTATGTGCCATGCATGTGTATGTGTGTGTGTGAGTGTATGTGTGTGTGCTTCCGTGCTAGTAAAAAGGTGTGCATTTGTAGGTTTAGAGAAGGACCCCCCCCCCTTAGCCAAGTGGTTTTCTGTGTACTGCAATCTTTCTGTGTAGCATTTGTAGTTGTGTGTCTGTGTAAGTTTTATATCTGTGACTTTTTGAATTACCTGGTTACCTGCATCTTGGGCAAGAAAATGCACAAACTCTAGTACACACACACACAAATGTGTACAAATTGTCCTGTAAGTTTTCTGAACGCATTCTCCCGAATGCGTGTATGCAAGAGCATCACTGTAATGAAAATGATTTATAACGGAGATTATCTGGATTAGGATTGCATGTAATATTTTTAAATTGGGAACGAGGTTAGGGATACTCTGTCACATCATAATTACTATTAGAGTGTATGAATATTGAAAAGGGATTGTCATTTTAATTTTATTTCACAAATTGAATAGCGAAACAAATTTAGAAATAAATGAAATGGTCTATTATGTTTTGATGAGAGCACACTGGTGTTTCACAGTGGGATCAACTAATGTGCTTCCAATGACATGTCAATCTCACTTAGGCTCAGAGCTGAAGAAAATCTCAATGACTGCATTTTCACTGACTGTAGTATTAATATATTGATCAGATAAAGATTATGATGATTAGCTTTACCAGAATGAATCTGTAAGGAAACCTGAAAAATAGTCACAGTAGTGCTGCTTCACTTATAATGATTTCAACAGTACTAATTGCTTATGTTGTATTTTACTTAAGTGTATTTCATAACATTGTATAGTCGATTGATATAGCAGCGTTAACAATGCAGTAGTTTTGGGGCAGGTGTGAAGTCTTAATTATTTTTTAAGAACTTAAGATGTTGTACATCTACATACAGTCATTAAAAGTAATATTCCTGTTTGAAACAAGCATCTATATAAAGCAAACCTCTGTTTTGTGTTCACACGTCATGTATTATCATTACCGGTTGTAGTCCTCTCCTGTGGGTCTGGCTAATGGGTGCATCACCACACATTACACTGTGAGGGCTCCAACCGGTGAAACAGCCCCTTTGATCAGGAACTCACTGAGTGATTCACCAGAGACAGAGGCGCAGCGAAGGGCACCTGCGCTCACGAGAAATCCCGAACGTGAAACTCTGAAAACGTGAAGGCTGGAAGGCTGGAAAATATATCCCGTGAATTCAAGGGCTCCGCTGTCCTCAAAGGCACTGGGCGAGAATGTTTCTATTAATGAGTTAGGAAAATGGATAGCTTAATGGTGGTGGGGGTGGTGGGGGTGGTGGGGGTGGGGTGGGGGGTGACTCACAGAGCTGGAGAGTGCTTGGCTTTATTCAGGGAGATAGAGAGTGCCTCTGCTCTGTTTTTCATCATGAGGTGGGGGGGGGGGGGGGGGGGGGGGGTTCTCATGCAGCATATGGACCAGAGAGCACAACCCTGACCTTGGTAGGTGTGCAGATTCGTGTGTTTTGTGGGGGCAGGTAAACTTGTGTGGTGTGGTGTGTGTGTGTGTGTGTGTGTGTGTGTATGTATGTGCGTGCGTGCGTGTGTGTGTGTGTGTGTGCGCGCGTCCCTTCGGTTTCTTTGCAGATTTCCATGTTCATATCATCTTCTCCATTTAAAAAAAAATGACAATCTCTGGCACTGCCAATCTGTGACTAACAAGCTCAATTTCTTACAGGTTGTTGAGTCAGGCTCTTTTACCACCTACTGTAACACAAAATGATGTCTTTGTTTACGCTTCACCGCACCGTTTCTTCTCAGTTTGACACCGAGCTTCTTATTTCTCACTATCCGTAATGGTTCGCAAATGAGATGTGAAGGATTGGCAAATTAAATAATGCTGTCGGCTGAAGGTTTATTTGTCTTTCTTGTGAACACTTTATTGAGAACATGTGTCAGTTGCTGGAGACCATTATCAGACAGTGTGTCTCCATTAACTCCTGTACACATGCTCTGCCACAGAGAGCAGAAATACAAATCTGTGACTTTTTTCTCCTTTTTTTTCCCTCTCTCCATCCGTAAACGGATTGACTACACATGTTAGAGGTGTGAAAAATTATTTACAAACCTAACGTAACATGCCATACTCTACCTCTGCATAATAAACCCGTCAGAATGTCTGAACAATCACTAGATAAAGAGATAATCATTAGATATAACTTCTCTGTATTCGGTGTGTCGTTATATGGTAGTTTTGTGATCTCATTCAGATGTCTATTCCATTTTGAATAAGCTGCACGGTGTGTAATAGGCTATTTGTTAGTATTAAACTGTAATTACCACAGCAGATTGCTGACTAACATATTTTAATGATGATCAATCATTTGCTTGAAAAATTTTTGCACCTTCTGTCTGTCTGTCTGTCTGTCTATTTGTTTTCATTTGCCTGTAATGACGCCCCTTGATTTTGCCGTACATGTTCCTGTGTATAGTTGGTCTGCACTGAGGGTATTTATGCAAAGCATAGGCTACATGTGCTAATTAACTTTTAGCTTAGCTTTTCAAGGACCCACATTTGCATACTGTCCAAGACACAAAACGCTGAATAGTGCATGCGCCACCTTCTACAAGTCGCTCAAACCTCATTATGTCTTACGGTCACAACTTCTTGGCTTGTCAGTTTGCCAACTGTCCAGCTGTAAGAAAGAAGTAAGGGTGGTTTTTCGTAACATTAAATACACAGTGCACACACGTTTGGTAAGATGTCACATATACAGAAAGTGTGGTTTTAACCGTATAGAGCTTTTCTAAACAAAGCATGTAATCGTAACTGCGTGCATGTGTCAGAGCTGTGAACAGACTTGCTGCAATCAGAATAGGACGAGGAACCAGTTTGTCTTGTGGGACCATGACATTACAGCGATCACTCCAACCAACACCCACCTCAGTTATGCTCTATTATCTAAGGTGTGACCTGTTCTCCAAACAACACACAGCAAATACCGTACATTTGTTCTGCTTTGATTTTCTTGGCTGTGTGACTTCGTGGGAGGGTGCACCAGGATCATCACTGTCAGACGTCTTCACACAGTGAGGGATGTGTAATTATAAATATATCTCACAGGGCTGCGTTTTATACATTCTTGTCTGTATAGTGTTGTTGCTGTTCTTGCTGTTTCACTTACTTCTTCTGACACCTTTTATCTGCGCTCATGGAGACTTAGCAAAGCAGACAGATTGATATTTCCCAGTAGTCCAGCAATCACAACTGTTCTTATTGATTCACAATAATACAAATTTACAAAATTATTTAATGAATCTAGCTGGTTCATCAGTTGGTGGCGCCTCAGGGTGATTTTTTTTCGACAATCTGTTGCCACTCAGCTGCGCTTCTCGCCATCTCAACGTATTTCATGTTATTCAGTTCTGAAGTAGGTCCGTGTTCTTGAAATTACTGAAATGATCACGAATGTGAACTCAAGAGATGTGCTGCTACTGCACATAAATCAGGGTTTCCTATGCCAACACTGAACACCAGCCAGAGGGCAAACATGTTATCATGCAACATGTACTCCAGCTTTGCTTCACTATATAAAACCTTGTGACAGCAAAGAGAATAGGGTATGGGTTTTATTATGAAATAGCAGCAGGAAGTCTGAAATGAGTCTGGCAGAGAGTATGAGTAGGTGAAGGAGGTTTTAATTGGCATTAGAAGCTGTTGAGACCTACGTTTGAATATTCAAACTAATTTTCTGCCGGTAATCGGTTTATACAAATCAGTTTGAAGGTGGAAAGATGAAGGTTGTTATTGTACAATGGGCGCGCATCAGAGGTCCATCTCAATGATTTAAAGTTTTTTTTGGGGAGGTGGGGGTTTCTGTGCCTTGCTGAGTCTATAAAAGAAGAATAGGTCAAGACTGTCTTATACAAACTTTGGAAAGAGGCTAATGGACAACTTCGGATATTCTCAGACTTGTCTTAGAGGAATAAACAACAGGAAAATGTCTGAAAATGTGTATATTTCTGCATATTCTCTGTAAACTGTTTGCATGTAGAGAGAATGTGGAAATGGAGTTACTCTTGTGTTGAAAACAAAGAAGTCGTCATTTAATTTCAGTTTTTGTCCCTTCTGATCTCTTCTTTTATTCTTCTCTCCTATACTTCCTCTTTTTCATAACCCTAATTCTCTAGTTCCTCACCAGTTATCCACTGTGCTTTTTTGGTGATGTTTTCAGGAAGGAGAGGAGAGAGTAATATGACAATGAGGGTCTGTCGTGTGCATAAGTGAATCAGTCATACTTGAATGCAAAATAATTACTGTTATCACACAGAGATTAAAGATGCACTTGCCAGAGTGCTTAATGGAGGTTTTAGTCTTTCAACCTCTCATCTCTCCCTGTCTGTGCAGCTTGCTCTCTCTCTCTCGTTTGCCTTGATAACTGTTTTCTTATAGATAACAGTGGATTGTGCGCTCGCATATCCTTGTTTGCGTGTGAATGCATGTGCGGGAGGAATGATGCTTACACTACTCTCTTCCCCTTTGATGTCAGCCGGTCAGCGTGTGACTTAAGTCAAGCTGAACATGATCCTTAAGTGCTGTCATTCTGATTTGAACCGACCTTTGAACTCGTGTCTTCTCAGGTACTGAAGCCTGCCTGCTCTGACACCGCGACTCCACACAGACCGACGGGCTGATAGACACCGAGGAAGAAGCGGGCAGATAAACAGATAGGAGGACAGAGGGAGGTGAGTGAAATGAATAACGCAATCCATTCTTATCTCTGTGTCCCATATATCTCTGCTCGCTATATACCCCCCCCCCCCCCCCCCCCCGTCTCTTCTCTGTATGCGAAGAGCCACTACTGGGCTCTGTGGCTCCTTGTTTACGGTGCTGCCCAATCAGCCAGAAAGCAAGTGAAGACCGGCAGCGGAGAGGTTGGTTCACACCCCTGCTGAGCACCACAACTGAGTGTGTTTGTCTGTGAGCATGCATGTGTATGTGCCATCACACAATCAGAGGTCCTTTTTTTTAATTTTTTTTATTTTTTTTCCTTTGGCCAACAATTTGATGTCTTAATGTCAAGAGCCATGATGAGACATGTGTTGCGGGTACATATCGGGGCATCAAGAATGCCAGCACAGATCTGCCTTCTTTTTCCCCTCCAGATGAAAACTACCATCAAATTACACATGTTGACACAAGCCTGATGGGGGCCAAGAGGAGAAATCACATTTAATTTTTGTCTAGCTGTATCTAAGTCTGTCTCTCATTGTTTATACATATATATCTCAAGCTGCAACTAATACCCACAGCCTGTTAGCTCACCTATTACCCATCTATGTATCTGACTAAACAAAAGCCCCATGTACATCTTGCGGTCTAGTCTACTGTATTACAGCTGCACACTGAAGGATGCTTTCGGGTTAGACACTTTTTTTTTTTTGATCACAGTCTGTAAGGGGCTGTGGTCCTAGTGGTAGCTGAGTTCACCCGCTGCTTTGGTGAACGGCCTGCTTATGTATGTAAAGTAGCTTTTATGCAATTCACCCAGCGGCCTTCCCCACTATCATCTCAGCGGGACTGTTTTGGGGTCTGCCTGTGTGTGTTTATGTGTAAATAATTGATCGCTGTAGAGGTTTTAGTGGATCGCTGGTGAGACCGAACCAGGCAAGAAAAAGCTGCTCCACCGCTCTGCTCGACAGTGTGCGTAACATAACTATACCATGTCTGCTGCTGCTCTGTGGCTTCTTTATGTTGTGGTGGGTGGCTTGTTGGTGTTGAGCCAAAAATGTCTTGTTTCCATGTTTTCCAGACAAAACAAGCAAATAAAGCAAGTTATCTCTGGTAAACTTGTCTAGCATGTTAAAATATAAATGATTAATAGATTACACACAAAAACATATATATATATATACATATATATATAATAGTAGGACAACAGGGTTTTCTGGTTAGTTCACATAAATTAAACCTTGTGGTGTCTCTCCAACAAGAAATATTTTCACTTTCACACAGAACCACATGCTTTCACACTCACAGAAACAGACAGTTTGTGTGTGGGTGTGTGTGTATGTGTGTGCAAATTTATGTACACACACACACACACACACACACACACACACACACACACACACACACACACACACACACACACTGTGAAATGATGATCCAGTGGGTTCTCATGTCCATCCTATCACTCAGCCCTTCTTTTTCCCATCTCCCCTTCTTTCTTTTTTTCACACTTTTCTCATCCGCTGTCTCCTCTTCCTCCTCTCTCATTTCTTTTTCTGTTTTCCCCGCTTATTCCTTTATCTAACTTGGCCTTCTATCACTAAAAGTCTTTATTTTGTTCTTATTCTTGCTTTGTCCTCCCTCTGTGTCATTCCTTCTCTCCTTTCTTGCCCCTTAGCCGCAGTGTCCTTGAGAAAGCAGTGACTTTGCCGGCGAGCGCAGCAGAGCGCATCTCTCTCTCTCTCTCTCTCTCTCTCTCTCTCTCTCTCTCTCTCTCTCTCTCTTTCACACACACACACTTTTTCTCTTGCGCACACACACATACACACACACACTCGCTGACACTCAGTCAACCCGCCTAACCCACACACACACGCACGCACGCACACACACATAGTACATCCATAGCAACACTGTCAAGCAGAACCAGCCCTTACAAGTCTCCTCCTTTAGTCCCTATAAATAATTCATCACCAGTAACACTGGCTGTACTTTATGCAAATATTGACAAACCTATCGCAGAGAAAAATTGAGACTGTCGTTTCCTGTGTTGAGCACAATTTTTGCCTACTTACTGTTTTCACAAACATATAGTACATTATCAACAAACTGTGGATTCAAGCAGAATATCTCAGTCATCACACAGCAAGAGCGTTCCCCCAAATCAGACCCCACACAGACATAAAAGATGACATTGTCACCATAAAAAAGTCATTCAAAATTTTGATTAAATTCACTCCAATTCTCTCTTAAGACTATAAAAAACAGGATTTAATGCACAAGTTACAATTACTCCTCCTGAATGTTTGTTACCAACTTCAGACAAATTGCCCTGAGGTGATACTGTAGTTAGCCTGCCAGCATGGAAACATGATCCCCCTCGTGCCCTCATCCTCATTAAAGGTGCCCTCGGCCAATCTTGGATCATGACAGCCTATTGTCACAGTTTTCCGTAGCTTTTGAAATATAGATGGACTCTGATTGTCTGGTGGTAAGATGAGATGTTATAGTCTCTGGATGCCGTTTGTTCTCATTGGTCTCTGTTTTCCATTAGAGTTCATAGAGTGCGTACTGGGTCACTGCTTTTTCCTGCTGCCTTACGTGTTTCTTGTTGGAGATCAAATATCTTGTGGTTAGTTAGCCGCAGTGCTATATATGGCAGCTGTGTTGCTGTAATTGCATCCTGTATGTTTATCTTTGATGACAATCAGATTTGAATTATACACCACACTGATGTGTTGTTATGTTGTAATCCTTCATTTCTATTGTAAGTGCTGTTTTATCATTCATCATCAACATCCATATATCTACTGTATATTTACACACCCCATGACATTATCCTAATGCTGCTGTTATTTCTCTCTCTCTCTCTCTCTCTCTCTCTCTCTCTCTCTCTCTCTCTCTCTCTCTCTCTCTGTCTCTCTGTGTGTATCTCTCTCACTTATGTTTGTCACACGTTCAGCTGAAAATGCTTCCGTAGCCATGGAGACCAATCCCACAGGGAAAAGTTGAGGCTGAATCTCTTTCTCACTCTCGTTTCCCTCCTTTGTCTCATGCCTGGTTGCAATCTAATGCCCCCCCCCACACACACACACACACACACACACACACACACACACACTAACAGGCACATCAGAATCTAAAAGCAGGGGAGATGTAGTTGTTGTTTTGGTTCTTTTGTGTTCAGTTAAGTGCCGATGTAAAAGAAGTGACCTAATTACAGAGAAACACTGAGCCTATGGACAGGGCTGAGGATGAATCTCTCTCTTGCTTGTTAGTGATCATGACTGTGGCAGTTGGACCTTTGGCCATTAAATACTTTCACAAAAGAGGCTGGTGGAGACAGACTACTGAAAAAGATGATGTGGGGGGAAGGCAGAATCATTTCAGAGGAAGTTGCAGCTTAAAAAAAGGGCCATGCCCTGATAAACACTGCGGTGTCAGACAGCAGCCTACAGAGTCAGTCAGTTGTCTAACTCTACTTTCAGTGTGTATGTGGTGTATTTAGGTTTCTGTCCTCCAAAGAAGAACGACAGTCATTTCAGCAAGTGCCACAAAACAACATATGTTTGCCTTAGTAATTATGACAGGAACAAAGGAGGAAGTCAAGTGACGTTGTTATAGAGTGACAAAGTCCATGTTGGGAGGAGTTTGGAATGGATGGACGAATGAAAACATTAGACTTTTAACATAAGATGCCAGCAGGGGTTACATTGGGCTGGAGCCCTCCGGAGCTGAGGTGTCTCCTTCAACATCATATCATCATATCACATGTATATATCCTAGTAAACGTAATAGCATATGGGATGAGTAATTCTCTAGACTACAAAGGGGGACATTTGAGGTGATTTCTTAACTCAAACAAGCTCCATGCCAAGTCTTGTTGGTTTCTGGGTATATACAGTATACTTCTGTTTGTGTGCTTTTTGATGAGTTAATTTGAGTTTGTCTGGTAGATAGAGCTTCCTCTTTGAAGAAAAGTATAATATAGGAATATTATAGGAAATTAAATCTCAGGTTTAAAATAAGTGGAACTTTCCTTTAATCTTTAAATCTTAATCTGTGCTTTTAATGGAGATGGCCTACGGGAAGACACTGGAAATGTAAAAGTGCAGGGAATTCAATTTTGTGAATTCATAAGAAATAATTGGTAATTATTAATGACAAGTCCTGCCCCTTTGGCTAGGTGAAGTTTGTTTCAGAATTAATGTAAAGCATTTTGTTATAAAGTGTGAAAAGGACAACTGTAATGAAACCTCCGTCTCTCAGGCTTCTTCTCTTCCTTCATTACTTCTCTTCATCTGTTCTTCCTGTTTCTACCTCCGTCTTTCACCCGCCTGTCTTCCCTTCCCTTCCTTCCTGTCCCCACCTTTCCCCCTTCATCCATTTTTGTCCTTTGTAGTTTCCCATTGTCTTCACCGGTTTATATTCCTCCCTCCCTCGCTTCAACAATGCACGTCTTACCTCATGGCTCCATTATTCTCCTCTACATCAGTGGCAATCCATCATTCCTCATCTCTTCTTCATCTTCATGCACTTATGTCCTTCTCGTCCCCACATTCTGTAAACCTTTTCTATCTCCCCATTCTGTTCATTTCTACCTGTTCCTTCTCTCATCCCCTTGTGTCTAACCTATCTTTCCTCTCCTCTCCTCTCCTCTCCTCTCCTCTCCTCTCCTCTCTTTCTCTCTCTCGGCCCCTCCTGCACCTCCCCTGAGTCAGAAAGACGGACAGGAAGGAAGTGTGTAATGAAACAGCCATATCAAGCACACTGCCCAAATTGACCTGGGATGAATGGAGTCACTGATCAGCTCCTGCTAAAGCACTGTAGATGAAGAAGCAGGGGGTGGGACAGAAGATGGAGCTGGAGCTGGAGACATATTTCGTATGAAACATAGTTATTTCCTCAATCACAGTGCACAATACACAACAGTATATGTGTGTTCTCTTGAGATCGCATATACAGTAAAACTATTATTCTGTTGTACGTGAGCTCTATTTGAAACAATAGATGA